CACTCATCTCACATGCTAGCAAAGTAATGCTCAAAATTCTCCAAGCCAGGCTTCAACAGTACGTAAACCATGAACTTTCAGATGTTCAAGCTGGATTTAGAAAAGGCAGAGGAACCAGAGATCAAATTGCCAATATCCATTGGATCATCAAGAAAGCAACAGAGTTCCAGAAAAATATCTACTTCTGCTTTATTGACTACGCCAAAGCCTTTGACGGTGTGGATCACAATAAACTGTGGAAAATTCTTCAAGAGATGGGAATACCAGACCACCTGACCTGCCTCCTGAGAAATCTGTATGCAAATCAGGAAGCAACAGTTAGAACTAGACATGGAACAGCAGACTGGTTCCAAATCAGGAAAGGAGCATGTCAAGGCTGTATACTGTCACCCTGCTTATTTAACTTATATGCAGAGTACATCATGAGAAACACTGGGATAAATGAAGCACAATCTGGAATCAAGATTGCTGGGACAAATATCAATAACCTCAGATATGCAGATGACACCACCCTTATGGCAGAAAGTGAAGAATTAAAGAGCCTCTTGATGAAAGTGAAAGAGAAGAGTGAAGAAATTGGCTTAAAACTCAACATTCAGAAAACTAAGATCATGGCATCCGGTCCCATCACTTCATGGCAAATAGATGGAGAAACAGTGGAAACAGTGGCAGACTTCACATTTTGGGGCTCCAAAATCACTGCAGATGGTGACTGCAGCCATGAAATTAAAAGACACTTGCTCCTTGGAAGAAAAACTATGACCAGCCTAGATGGCATATTAAAAAACAGAGATATGACTTTGTCGACAAAGGTCCATCTAGTCAAAGCTATAGTTTTTCCAGTAGTCATGTATGGATGTGAGAGTTGGACTATAAAGAAAGCTGAGGGCCAAAGAATTGATATTTTTGAACTGTGGTGTTGGAGAAGACTCTTGAGAGTCCCTTGGACTGCAAGGAGATCCAACCAGTGAATCCTAAAGGAAATCAGTCCTAAATATTTATTGGAAGGACTGATGCTAAAGCTGAAACTCCAATACTTTGGCCACCTCATGCGAAGAGTTGACTCATTAGAAAAGACCCCGATGCTAGGCAAGATTGAAGACAGGAGAAGGGTACGACAGAGGATGAGATGGTTAGATGGTATCACCAATTTGATGGACGGGAGTTTGAGCAAGCTCTGGGAGTTGGTGATGGACAGGGAAGCCTGGTGTGCTGCAGTCCATGGGGTCTCAAAGAGTCAGATATGACTAAGCGACTGAACTGAAAACAAAGCAATGTAGAATAAAACATTTGTCTTTTTCTCCTTGAGAGCCCCAGACTCCTTTCTCCCCCTTGGGGACCCTGGACTTCTTATCAACCTACCTAGGAATTGACTCTCTCACCTGACCCATTAATTGACTCTTGCCAGTGACCTGGGGCAGAAAAAGAACCAGGGACCAAGACCAGCCAGTCAGCTGAAGGAGGCACAGCAGGGAGGTCAGGGGAGCTCAGGGACAGAAATTACCTGAAGCCAGAGCAGCCAGCCAGAGGAGGAAAGAGAACAGAGGGAGTGGCTGGGAGGTGTGGAGCTACAGTGAGATACTGCAGCCAGAGGACCCAGAGCATCTCCCAGATCCTGCCCAGGTCCAGGTCAGGCGTCCTTCCAAGGACACAGGCACATTCATGTGCCTCGTGTCTCTGGAGACTGGAGTGTGTATCTATCCCTCTCCCCCAAAGGATGGGTCTGACAACCCATAGCAGGAGGCCAGGATGGGATAAGGAAGGTGTGTGCTTGCAGGGGACAGGAACATGCAGACCTTTGCAACCTGATGTCAGCCCTGGTCTGACCTCGGAGAACACATTGGCTTCATTCGTGCATGGGATGTGCAGGCATAGGTGTGGGGTACGGGCTTCTTTTGGGGGTGATGAAAATGTAAAATTGATAGTGATGATGGTTGCTATATACCAAAAACCACTGAACTGTACACCAATTGTATACTCTGAAAGGGTGAAATGTGGTTTATGAGCTTGATCTTGATAAAGCTACTCACGTAGGCACACAGTCGTAACCAGCAGAAGCCCAGGAACCCTCTGCGTACCAGGACACACATGGTCTCAGCTTGCTTCCTTCATGCTCTGCTTTCACATGAGGGCAGGCGACAGGCTGGGCAGCCCCTTCCCTCAGAAGCTTCCTCACCTACCCAGGAAGTCCCAGGGAGTTCGGGTTAAAGCAAAGGGGACCGCGGGTTTGGAAGTGCATTAAAACTGCAGTGCCAGGTGGAATGGGGGTGGTCTGCAGAGACATGGGGCTCTGACAGGGACACACAGGGGATGGAAAGCGGTGTCAGGGACCCGTTGAAATCTAGGCAGCAGAGAGGGGCCAGGAGGGAGAGGATTGGGTGAAAGGCCTCCAGTCCTCCAACCCCCACTCCCCAGCCTTTCGGATGAGACTTCCCTTCTGCAGTTTTAGATTAAAATATAAAGATCCCGGGCAGAGGCGGATGGGCCCCCAGCCCATTGGGGCACACACCTGGGGCAACCTGAGTGTGAGTGAGTTTTTGCGGGGCAGTGCTGATACAAGTCAGTGCCCCTGCTGGAAGCAGAATCATGAGTCTTGGAGAGGGGCAGTGAAACCCACCCTGGCTGTGAAGGTGGGGTCTGAACCTGGCAGTTCTCCTGGCAAATGGCCTGGCCTAGGAACTGGGAGTTCATCTGTATGAGTCATTCGTGAAGTCAGGGTTTACTGAGTGCCTACTATGTGCCACGCGCAGCCTGGGTGTCAGCTTGGAATCAGCCTGAGCTGGATGCTAATGAGGCCATTTCCAACAAAAAGAACACTCACCTATGTGGCAGACTCCAGGCCACATGCCAGCCTTCTGGCCGTGTTATTCCTGGTCCTGACACCATGCCCCAAGGGAGGGTCTAGGGCACTGACTTTGACCTTCTCAGGGTCACACAAGAGCAGGGATAGAGGACAGGACAGGAACACGGAGAGCATTGTGATTCCCAAAGGTGTATTAGACCCCATCCCTGGAGGCCAGAAGTGGGGAAGCAGCTCTCGTTGCGCAGCATCTGCAAGCCCTAGCCCTTGGAAGGGTGCTTCACAAATGGGAAACTGAGGCACACACAGCAGATGGCCATGGGATTACCCTGACTGATTCTGGGGGCGGAGGGGCAAGGAGAAGCAGGCAGAATTCTGGGGCATGAGAGGAGCCCAAAGAGCCGCAGCTTCTTGTTGAGAAAGGACCCTGAGGCCCCAGCAGGGAACTGCTGGCCAGCAATCAGCCCCAGGGCAGCAAAGGGAGTGGCCAGTCCAGTATTTCCAGGAAGCTGGGGCCAGGCCCCTTTCTGTTTCTAGCCTGCACTCATGGTTTCTCTGATGGGGGAACTGGGCACCTCAACAGCATTTTCTGCCAGCAAGGCTATTTTTTACTAGTTTGCCAAAAATCTTCCCAACCCCCTAAGACTGAGAAACTAGGTTCACCACTGTGCGTGGATATGAGGTGGTCCTGATTGCCCACCACTTAGTGGTTGATCCCGGTTTGCCTTGAAGCCTTTCATTCTGTCTTCAGGCACTGCTATGTAATGCTCAGGAACTGATGCTTGCTCCTCCAACCTGACCACCAATACTTTTCAAACAGGGACTGCACTACTGTGGCGGAGTGGTGGAGAGGGAAGACTTGTGAATGGAGAGACCAGGCATTTTCCTCCTCTGCAACTAGAGAAGCTGATCCTGAATCAACAGCCTGGGCAGCTATCTCACCCACACCTCTATGTAACCCCTGTGCTCAGAGTAGTATGTCTGTTGGCTGTCCAAAAATATGCATTAACAGCTTGTTCATGGTTCCTTCTTTTTGGCTGGGGTAAGAGATAGGCCGAGAGAAGAATCCAAGTGAAACTCATTTCCTTTTGGTTCAGGGGCCTCTCTGAAGAGCCAAGGCAGACTAAATGAAAACTGAGATCCAGTTTCCAAGAGACAGAACTGGAGAGGCAGGCGATGCAGGCCTCACCCTCTGAACCACGGTAGCGTCAGCCTCACCTTTCAATCTGACACCAGAGTTCCTAGGACTGCTCCTCCTTCGGATAGAGGCTTGAGCTTGTTGTAGGCCGTTGAGCCTGCTGGAGGCCCGGGGCTTGGCTCATAGGGCGGGAGGGGAACTGCACAGCGCACACCCTAGCCAGCCCAAGAAACCTGTGCACACTTGTGTCCCGGCCTGTGTCACTTCCTGCAGGCACCTGTGCAGGGAAGGGCGTCCCCACTCCCATCACCCCAGCCGCCGAGAGTCCCGAATGCGTGGGTCTGAGGCCTGCAGAGACAGGCTGTCCCCTCTCTCCCTCCGGCAAAGGGCACTGCCTGGAAGCCTGTCCCATGTCTGTCGCGAGGAGACGCTGGCTTCCCAGACACCTGCGGGGACAAACGAAGTCCCTGCGAGGACACGTGGATCCTGCATGCGGAAAGGGTCCAGGCAGAGGGCTCTCGGCCAGGGACTGCTGGGCAGGGGTGGGCAGGGAGCAAGGAAAGAGGAGGACTGGCCGGGACACCCGAGGGTCGCGAGTACGCGACACAGCACTGGCCCCAGGCCCAGCCCTGACCCAGGCTGTCTCCGGAGGCCCCGGCCGCGCCCCTAACCCCGCCCCTAGCCCTGCCCCTCGGCCAGCGCAGCCCCGCCCCACTGGGTTGCTAGGGGAAGTGACGTCACAGCGCGATGGCGGCGACTCCTTCAGGCAGCTGAAGGGAGATTTAGGCCCGGGAGATCCGAGTCCATCCGCGGCGGGGAGAGGGCAAGCGGGGCCGGCGGGGGCCGGGACAGGGGCGGCGGCGCTCGAACTGTCCCATCCGCCCCGTATTGAAGCGCTGGGAGCGGCGGGGCGACCGGAAAGCGATGGTGAAAGCGGGGCCGTGAGGGGGGCGGAGCCGGCAGCCGTACCCGCAGTAGCGGCAGCAGCGGCGCCGCCTCCCCGAGCTCAGACCCAGGAAGCGGCCGGGAGGGCAGGAGTAAAGCGGTCCCGCCGCCGCCGCCATGGAGCTTAGAGTAGGGAACAGGTACCGGCTGGGCCGGAAGATCGGCAGCGGCTCCTTCGGAGACATCTATCTCGGTGAGGCGCCCCTCCCCCCGGCGCGGGCCACCCCAAACCGGCGTCCGCCGGGCCCGGTTCCGCTCCGGCCTCCGCCCCGGCGACCCTGCCCCCGGCGGCTCGAACCCCAGGTCAGACCCTCTTCGCCCGTGGCGGTGAGCCGGGTCCCCGCTGGTTCGGATCTCCCAGCTCCCCAGGCAGGAACTTTTGGCCTTTTTGACCCGCGCCCCTCCACCCCACCACCCCACCCCCAGGGCACCTGCTTAACCTGAGCTCGCGGCCTCTGGGCAGCGGCCGGGAGCCTCGGTTAGGCCCTCGATGCCCGCTCTGCTCGCCCCGCCTGGTGTCCGCTCCCAGTGTCGTCCCCCCCCACCCCCCGGCAGACAAAGGCCGTCGGCGAGTGCGGCTCCCACGTCCTACGCTCGTGCGGCGGGCACGAGAAGAGTTCGGGGCTGGCCGAGACTTCTTCGGCGCTCCTCGTGATGGTGCAGCCTCAGCTGACCAGCCCCTCTGGCCTGGAGCCTGGGCCGTGGACCGCAGGTGGCGCACAGGGTCGCCTGGGGGCCAGTCCAGTGGTCGTTGAGAACATGTTGCGCATCCAAGTTCCGTACTAGGTACCTCGGCTTAAACTAGAATGACATTCAGGTGATTCTGGACAAAGTCAGCGTTAAGGTGTTGGCAGACTTAGAGGCAAATAAAGTGCAAAGCTCTACTCATTAGCTTGCCCTTTTGCTATGAAAATTCTTCCAGATAGACGGGGGGTGGAGGGGGGAGATTAGAACGTTCCGGATGGCTTCAGATTTCCAGTGAAAGAAAGCGCATATACACGTGTGTAATAAAAGGTTGGCTTCAGTCTTACAGTTGAAAGTTTAAAGATAGCTTATTGGGTTTTCCCAAAGGAATAATTGTATATGAGTTACTCCTACCCCCACATTTGGGGACGTCCAGCCTGGCACGCGGTGCGTGTGCGGAGGGACTGTCATTGCGCAAGTTTGGGGGTAAACATGCCCTGAGCTTGCGCAGCCCGCTCTGGTGTTTTTGTTTGGCTGGTGTCAGGGAGGGTCAGGAATAGCTTCTTTTGTCAGTAATGCTTCTGGTTATGCCTTTCAGATGGTCCCAAGTTTGCGCTCTCACCGCGCCATCCTTGGCTATAGTTCCCAAAAAGATGCATGACCTCCTGGGCTGACAGTGTAAGAGGAGTCCACACTTAGGGTAGTTCCTAGCTATTTTTGGTACCCTTACCCTACAGGGAAACCTGTCACATCAGTAGGCGCGTTCCTGCCCTGCTGAGTAGAATACACTTTAGAGACACTTGGATTTTGCTGTTTAAATATTTATGTCGGGTAGTCAGCAGTTGCCTTCTCAGCAGTGTTTTGGGAGGCAAAGTGCTGGGTAAATGCATGCTGTTTGCCTTATTTATAGAATGATAGATTTTGGCAAAAGTTTTAACCTAGGATCTAGGAGCTGTAGTGAAAAGCCAATCCATTAGCCACCCTTACACTGATAAGAAAAAGTCAATATTTTGAAACTTTTTGTTCTCTGGTCTGAAACCTTGCCAGACAGCTCTCTGCTTTCCAAAACTTTGTTCAGACAGTCAGAGTGTGGAACACTGTCACCAGGTCATTCACAAAGAAGTTGAGAGTTTTGTGGGAGACCCTGTAGGCTTTATTCACAAGTGTGTCCTTTGGGCCTCACCTTGTTCTGGGCACACCAGTGGTGCTAGATACAGATATCAGGCTGACTGGTCCCAGAGGGATCTGTCCTCAGTTTTCTCCTTCACATTTATCCTAAGATGGATAGACTGTGGCTCTTGAGCGCTCGTTATGAGTACCCACATGGCTCAGCCATTGGAGTACACTTAGAGTTACTTGTGTGCAGTTAGATACAACCAGTTATTTTCGTCAGCCTTGGCCCATGTAGTGGTGGCTTCAGACTACATGCTACCTCACTGAGAAAATGTGACATGGTCTTGTTAGATTGAGATGTGACTGGAAAAGTGGGTCAGAGGTGGTTCAGTCGCTAAGTCGTGTCTTACTCTTTGTGACCCCGTGGATTGCAGCACCAGGCTTCCCTGTCCTCCACTATCTCCCAGAGTTTGTTCAGAATCATGTCCATTGAATTGATGATGCCATCCAACCATCTCATCCTCTGCTGCATCCCCTTCTTCTTTTACCTTCAGTCTTTCCCAGTGAGTTGGGTCTTCACATCAGGTGGCCAAAGTATTGGAGCTTCAGCATCAGTCCTTCCAATGAATATTCAGGGTTGATTTCCTTTAGGATTGACTGGTTTAATCTCTTTGCAGTCCAAGGGACTCTCGAGAGTCTTCTCTAGCACCATCATTCGAGAGCATCAGTTCTTCAGCACTCAGTCTTTTTTATGGTCCAAGGACCACGGGATGTATTGAGTCATCTGTACTACTGTTGTTTGTGGGTGTGTTTTTTTTTCCATTTTTTAGGCAATTAACCAGTCATTAGTTGAGGAATGAGGAATTTGGTTCTCATCTTAAAATTATGTCCTACAAATTATAGAATGACGACGATTAAAGTTGTCCAACTGCTGTCACTTTGCTATAGGTCAGATCACTGGACGACGACTCCTTCACCTTGCTTTCAGTGTGGGGTTTGGGGTCTTCCTGGACTTCCTAGCACTTTTAGGTGCTTGAAGCCGAGGGTTAAGAGCTATCCTTCAGCTTGCTAAATGCCTTATGGACCAAGAAGGCCCAGAGCTGGCCTCCCTTTCCAGCAGCCTGCTGTGCTGACATGAGCACTCGGCACTGTGCCCTGCAGTTTATTCCAGTCTTTCCCAAACTGAGCCCCCTGTTCTCATGGAGCTCTATTCTTGTCCATGTTTGTCTTGTAGAGGCGGTTACAGTACCTTGGACCCACTCCACTTCATGATTGGTGAATGGAGGAGGTTTTCTTCCTACCAGTTTTTGGCATTTGTACTTGATCCTGACACTCAAGTTTGTCAGAGGATGGCCTCATCTGTCCAGTCTTTACCCAGGTGGACTTTGCGGTTTGACTTTATTGTGTACACAAACGCTTTGGGGGAGCTAAAGCTTAGTAACCTCTTCATACTTGATTTTCATGTTTTTCCCCCTCTCTGACTTTCATTTCTCTTCAGTGGGGTGTCTGGCACGCAGTAGAGGTTCCAAAATGGTGCTGACTGGCCAGGAGAGGAAAGCAGTCGCCAGTACGCAGCTCTTGTAGTCATATGCCTTTGTCCTTTACAGTGGTGGCTTGAGTGTTTCTAGATACCAAGTCAGCTGCTTTGTCAGTGGTTGTCCTGCGAGAGTAACTTTTGACCTGCTGTTGAGAGGCCTCTCCCTCTTTCTTAAGATAAGACAACCATCAATGGGAGTTAACCTTTCTGTTCCAGGAAAGGGCCAAGCTTAGGGTTAAGTTCAGTTCATTTATCCTCTGCCTTTGCCTAATTTGAGGGACATAATTTTGTTTTCCTAGGACCAGTATTAACCTATGTCTAAACATAGACTAATATCTATACCTAGTGAGAGGGAACTCTTGTCTGACTGGCAATGGACCTGCGCAAAAGAGCTGAGGTTGTTGGGGGATAAAACATCTCACTATAAACAGACACTAAGAGTAATCATGATGTGCCACTTGGTTTTGACTTGCTCTGAATCTGGAACCCAGAGCTCAGTAATACCTTTCAGATTTTTTTGTTCCCCATCTAGAAGTACTTCTAAAAGTTACCTGTTGTGAAGAACCAAGTTTTGTAATTTCCAGTTGTGGCAGAAACCAGCCCTTTTGTTAAAAAAGATTAAAATGCAGCAATGTCATTTTGCCATCAGAGCTCTTGGGTGCTTCCTCGGTATCCTGCATTTTCCCTTTGTGGACTGGTGGCAGTTTGAGGACAAGACTTGGGACGGCACTGGTGGTAGAGCACAGGGGCTGCTGTCAGCCAGGAGGGCTGGGATAGGACTACAGGGCTACAGAGTGGTGCACCTTAGTTTTGCTCAGGGGTCTCGTTAACGTTTAGTTCCCATGGAACATACAGAATTTGAAGCTCTGCTTCTTCAGCGGTGAAGAGCTCTCAGAGGAGACAGCCTGGAGTGGGTGCTGCCCTCAAGTCTTGTTTGGTAGAGAACCCATGTCCAGCCTTTCCTCTTTTAGTCATCAGACTCAGGGCACCCTTCACATCTGTGATGCTGTAAAGGACTGGCTCTGTTGCTGATATGATCGTGGAGGAGGTGGACTCTGTGTCCTGGTGTAATCTTAGGGCAGGCTGACTGTTTGCTGGTATAATCATGGAGGAGGTGAGCTGTTTCCTGGTGTAATCTTAGGTGAGTCTGACTCTTGCTCTGTGTGGTCTTGGGGGAGGCTGGCTTTGTTGATGTGATGTTAGGGGAGGCTGGAATTCAACTGTGTTTCAGAGTTGCCTGTGGTCATTTGTCCCCAAGACTGTCAGTATTGCAGGGTGACTCAGATGTTAGCTTGTAACCATGATACAGTGGAGCTAGAAGTGTTCTCAACCTTCTTGAAGGTGCAAGTTCAGTAGGTAGCCTGTGCAGGCCCAGGCTATGTTGTCATTGAGAACCTGCCTCTTGGCAAGGTTGACAGAACAGACATAGTTGAAGGAGCAAGAGTGCTATCATCAGAGACTTTGCTGCTCCTGCTTTGGGGTGGGGGAGTTGCTGATGTAACTAGTAGGATGAGTCATCTGTTCCTCATGGGCTGGCAAGTTCGGTTCAGAGTTCCAGGTCCTCACAGGAACTCAGAGTTCATTTTCCATTTGCACAGTACATTTTAAAATGAAGTCATTTCTCTTGTGATTAGGTAAATTATCACAGTCTGAGGCAGGAAGGACAAAATGTATTACCTGTCTTTCTTCTGAGTGCCCAGGAGTTTTCGTGGCATGGTAAATGGAGTTCTTAAATTCAAGGTGGTCACTAACAGTGATCAAATGGTGGTTATTCCCGTGGAAACCCAGCATTGGTGACCAGCTTTGTACCTAGGGCAACTAGAAATGGATGCATTTCAAGCAGCTGTCTGAGCAGACTAGAGGGGAAAGTTTCTCTTTCTTGGGCATTTACTGGGTTCGTGAGTATCAAGCAGACAACTCTCCTGCAGGTCTTCATTGTTCTAATGCTTGCTGACCTTACTCTGCCTTTTTCTGGGAGTCTCAGTGTGCTTTGTGACCAGTAACCCATTCATCCCCACAACTCCCAAGAAACAGACTGCTGGTCTCCCCTCTGAACTCAGATGGTGAGAGAAATTTGAGTTGCCAGGGACTGGCAACATTGCTGTGCCCAGCGTGGCTCTAGGTTTCCTCTGGGATGCTGTAGCCAGTGTTAATTCCTTTACAAACAACTGTACTTCTGGGAAGGATTAAAGTGCTTTAACTTAGAACTGGTGAGGAAAGCAAGGGAAGACCTAGTTATGTGCTTTTCCTGTTCTCTCTAGTGAATGTGCCTTGGGAGAGGGAGGGGGGTCTTGTAGCATAGCTTTGAGTCAGACTGGCACTCAGAAACATTTTTGTGATAAACCTGCATAGGTAGTGGTTGTCATGTATGTAGGTCCACATTGTAGTAAATAAGAGAATGGCATCATGAGGTTAAACCTCTGATCTTCAGTCATGGGCTGGTGATCAGGAGGTGTGAGCAGATACGTTGCTAGTTTTAGCACAAAATTGGCAAAAGATGAGTGACAAGTATGTGTTGCATAGGTGTGATTAGGGAAAATTGGCAAAAGATGAGTGACAAGTATGTGTTGCATAGGTGTGATTAGGGCTTTGAGAACAGAACCCAGTCCTGATCCAGTGTCCGTAGGAGACACAGAGCAATGTCTTGGTTCCAAGAGGGAAGGGATGTGCTGGGTCTCCCTGGGCCTGGCCTGTGTTGGGCGAATGATGGCTTCTGCCATGTTGTGGGAACCGAGCCCCCTTGAGAAGCACCCTGCTGTTTGTGGCTTGGTACTTAGGCCACGTGGACTGAGATGGGCTTAGACCATGTGGTTGTTCAGTGGAAATGCAGCTTTCCCTCTGGAGAGAGGATTGTACACACTTGGGGCCTATCAAGGAAGCATGGAGAAATGGGGTCGACATGGAATGTGTTGCCCTGGGACTCCCCATGGTCTAGCCTTGGGTGGGTGAATGCAGGGCTGACCAGCAGGCTGGATGAGAAGTTTTAGACCAGGTAGGGATCCTGTGGAGAGAACTGTACAGCCTGTCTCTGGGTCTCCTGGTGATCAGAGTAGGGCCATTGGAAGTGGGTGATATAAAGCCATATAAGATTTTTCTATACATGTTACATACTTCTGTTTTAAAAAGTGAAAATAAGAGTTATTTTCCCACAAGGATTTATCTACCGCTGACACCATTTTGTAGTAGAAAGTGGAGTACATCCATCTGCTGGTCGTCCTCAGAAGATTCCGATAGCACTCATGACTCCAGTGTGTCATGACGTTGGGTTAGGTGGGAGATACCAGATGATTAACATTTGTGGTTTTCTTTCTTTGCCAAGGTACGGACATCGCTGCAGGAGAAGAAGTTGCCATCAAGCTTGAATGTGTCAAAACCAAACACCCTCAGCTCCACATAGAGAGCAAAATCTACAAAATGATGCAGGGAGGAGGTATGATTTTTACCTGTTAAGAAAACCAAGGTGGTGTTTGATAAGGGAGATGGCAGATGTCATGAATCACAGTCTGGTTGATTTGGAAAGGGGGCAGGAACGTTCATACCCTTGGCCCCATCCTGTGGCTTCCTTCAGATACTATCTGAGAGGCCTGCAAAGGGCCTCACTTGACAAAAGAAACATCATTTTATGCTCTTTGCATGAATATTCCCTTCCTTAGGGAATGTTATGTACTGGTGTCTTTGAACACGAGCTTATGTCAGCACTGACATGAAGCTTGCTGCTGATTCTCCCCTGCTGTCTCAGTCATGCCTGCAGCTTTGGGACAGTCTGCGGACTCTTCCTCCTGAGTGAGACCCTTTCCAGCTCAGTTACTGTCCCCCTTCTGTGAAACCTCCCCTTGGGCCTGAGGGTACCTGAGAGTACCCATCCTGGTTTCAGAATCTACCTTTTAGAATTCTCTAGACTTTGAGATTGTTTGGCTAATAGAGCAGGAAGGGGTCTTATTGGGGGGGTCTCAGTCCTGAAGACACTGCAGCATTTTGAAGGGTGTGCCTGTGCTGCTGCCCAAGAAGCTTGGGAAGTCTAGGCACAACCCTGAATATCTTGAATTTCTCTGGGGACAGGGCTTTGTGTGTGAAGAATAGCTGTGTTATTCCCTCTTGGAAACCCTTCAAGGCAGAAGCCCCCATGATACTTTCAGAGTTGGGGATGGGCTGTTGCCTTTTTGCCAAAGGAAAGCTTGTCCTCAGAGTCTGTTGGTACTTTTGTCAGGTGGAAAGGGAGGACTGGTGAGGTGACTTCTTGACATCTTTGCTTCACAAAGCAGTTTAATCTGTGTTACTACTACCAGAAACCACCATATCTCTGTTGACGTAGCACAAGGTGTCTCTTTAGCAGCAGATACATTTTAAAGCAACATTCAGAGTCCTATGAGATGATTGCAGAGGGGGTGTCCAGTGCCTCTCATCCCTGGTATTATGAGACCAGAAGAGGCTATAGGTTCTTGGATGGCACATGGAGAGGAGACTCCCTGGCCCCTCCAGTGCCCAGGAGAGGTTGACAGAGGACCCTGCCAGTGTGTCTGCCCTCTGGAGGCCCTCAGTGAGCTTCTCAGGCACCAGGTGTGGTCTACACAGCTTTTAAGGTGGTGCTGACTTGGGATATGGCCTTCATGGTGGAAGGAGCTTGGTGATGGTGATTGGATGAAACCTTCTGACTGAAAACCGTGTGCATTTGAGGAGCAGCATCTCTGGGAACTCAGAAGCTGGGCGCTCAGGGACAGAGAGAAGGAAAAGAACAGATGCCAGGGAGGTGCTACTATGGAGTAGATTAAGACTCAACAAAGGAATTCCCTGGCGGCCCAGTGATTAGGACTCTGCTTTCTCCACTAAGGGCACAGGTTCAATCCCTGGTCAGAGAATTAAGATCCTGCCTCAACAGAAAAGAGTTTATTTGGGTTAGAACAGGGTCTGTCCTCCAAAGCGTTACTGTTTATTGTGGAAGCTGTCTCCTGCATGGAGGACAGAGAGCAGCATCCTAGGTGCCAGTAGGCCCTCACGCCCTCTCCCAAGTTGCAGTGATCAGAAATGTCTGCAGATGCTGCTAAATGCCCCTGCATGTACTTCCTGCTTAGACCCCCTGTTTTAGAATGCAAAGGATCACTTACTTTAGTCTTCATGGAAGCCTACCAGAATACTAGAAAAGATATTCTCCTGTCTGACCCTACCCACACGTAGATCGGGTTTTACTGTTGCTTCAGGTATACACTTGGTGAATTCTATCAAGATGTAAATGTTTGTTTTTAGAAAACTGATTCTGTCCGGGAGAGCGGAGAGCTCCATGCTGGTACTGTTTTGTGAGCTTGTCCTAGCCGGGATGAAGCTGGGATGGCAGAGGAGATAGAGGCCTCTGCCTGGAAACCTCATAGCTCTGCAGTTGGCCAGCCTTCTGTATCCATCTCAAGTGGTGCATCTCTGATCGTGGATTTTTTTCTTTTTATGCTGAGCTCTGGGCCTCTTTGCAGATGGTTGATATTGACAGCATCACAGGAGAAAGCTTGAAGCCCAGGGCTTGCTTTGCCCTCTCTAGCTCGTAGTACAGTGTTGCCTGGGTTGCTGCCTGGTAACGTGGCCTTGCAGTGCTCCACTAGAGAGAGCCGCTGTGCTGGCTCACTCAGGCCACTTAGGGGAGGGGTTGGCATTTTAAAAAAAACAACATGTTTTAGGGTGTGGATGAGATGGGTGAAAAGTTTCAGTTGTATGATAGCATTTGGTAACCAGACTTACTGTGGTGATCACCCTTTATTAGTGTATGCAAAGATGAAATTGTACACTTGAAACTAATATGTTTTATACAAATTTTACTTCAATAAAAGCAAAAGCAAAAAAAAAGACACACTAGTGTCAAGGTATTGTTAAAAGTATTTTTACACGTGCCGGCACGTTCTTCACCACAGTCATGTGCAGTAGGTATCATCGCCCTCATATAACAAATGAAGAAACTGAGGCTGTTTCTAAAGAACACAGGTTTGAACATGAGCACTGTAGCTCCCAGACCACTCCTGGAGAGCAGCCCTCCCTGAGGGTCAGCAATCAGGAACGAGCCCCAGATCTAGTTGGTGCAATAGATTAAAAAACTTGAAATAGCGGAAATAATTTTAAGTTAATTATGTTGGTGACAGACTTGGGTGGACACCCAGTTTTTATCAAAACAAAGTGGACTGCCAGGCAGAACCTAGAGGCTGACTGCACTTTCCAGTCCTAATAACCCCACAAAGTATCTTTAGACCACATTCTCCTTGGGGAACCTTTGAGTGGAGATCTCTTGTTTAGTTCACAGCTACTTCTGGTCGAGGCTTAGGGCGGGTGTGGGAGGAGAGGGTGGGCCCTTTGTATGAGAATTCAGGCCAGGGGTGAGGATGGGAGCTCTGCGCTGATGGTGGGTGAATGCCACCAGTGACGTGGGCAGTTGAAACAGGTGGCCTCTCACCCAAGTTCACTCTCATTTTACATGCCTGGTCAGTTCCCACAGTATATTTAAGACAGTTAAATGATCTTTTTTATTAGGAAAGGTTTTACAGTGCCTAAGAACATGTAGAGCTCGTGGCTGTCAGAAAACTAAAATGAACCCCCAGAACTCCCACGTGCTTGAGAGAGAGAGCAGGAAGGCCTTCGGCACCTGTGTGCCCGCCCCAGGACTTCTTCTCTACAGCTGCCCAAAGCCTGTCTCCCCATGCTCTTGCTTAGTTTGTTTCTCATTTTTTTTTCCTCCATTATCCTGCAAGAAGTTAGTTTTTTAAAAATCTAATGACATTGCCCAGAAACATTTGGCCATTGTATTTACAGTTGTTTTAAGGTTCAATTGCCAAACACTTCATGAACAATTGTATTTGCATTAATACTGAGTCCCTAAGTTTATATTGAAACTTTCCACAAATCCAGTGGAAAGCATTTACCTGGTGGTATCCCCCCTTTTTCACCCCCGGGCATATTTTTCATTATCTTTGGACTTTATGAGGGGAAAAGTATCAAGTGTCCAGAGCTGCACATAACAGTCCAAGTGACGCATTTCCCATGTTAAGGGCGAGTGGGCAGGGGCAGCTGAGTGTCCCTAGCATGGCTGGTCACCGGGTAGCACTCTGGTGGCTGTGTCTCTCACCTGCGGCCTCACATGTCCTGCCCCAGCCCCAGGAGTGGTACTCTGGCATCCCAGGTGCATTTCAGCTTTCTGGTCTCACTGCACCACACCTCTGAGGTCACGGAGCAGCTGTCTGTACACAGGGAGCGGGGTCATTCTTGTGAGTGGCTTTAGAGTTGATTGCTGCCTGGACCTCAGCATTTAGCTTGCAAGACAGTCTGCTAAGGATGAAACCGGCTCCATAGCATCTTCCTCTTCTGGCCAGGGAACTGAGAAGAGGAGCACCCTGCTTCTACTGCATCTTATCTTAGGGTGATAAGGTGTGTTGGTGTCACCAGCAAGAGACAGTGCTACCAGTGAAATGGACCATCAGAGCAGATGAGTGGCAAGTCCATACCCTACATCTTGCTAGTTCATACTCTTGTGAACACGAGTAATACAATTTTACTGTGTGTATTCTACAATTTTCCTCTTTGACCTGCTGTGTTCCTGAGGTTCTTGAACGTTGACACAGTTGTGGTTCGATGGATTTCGTTGCAGTTTATAGGCTCTTGTGTCTCCATAAACAGACCTCCCTGTGTTGAGGAGGAGCCCTGGCTAGCTTCTAGAGTTTTGCTCTTAAGCATGGTGCCACAGTGACTCCCTCGCCCACAGCCTGTTGGTGGAATAGCATTCTATGAAGTAAGCAGGTGCTCAGCCTGTAGGGTGGCACCCCAGCCATAGGGATGTGTTCCCAGGTGGTTACCCACATTTGCCTTCTCCTGGACAGCCTCGGGGACTCCTGTTAGATCCACATCATCTTCAACCTTGCCATTAATCATTCTTCTCCAGTGTGACTTGGCGTGTCTCAGCTAGCATAGAAGGGGGAAGTTTCAAAGAATAAGGATGGAGAAGAAAGAAACAAAACTTACTGGTACATGATCTGACTTCCTATATAGGAGACCAACAAGACAGGTTAGAGCGGTGAGCCAGATACTTCAGATCAGAGTATAAAATTAGTTCTCTTATTACACCAACAACAGTCAGTTAGGAAATATAATTCTTTTTCTCCTCAGTGCAAGCAAGTCTTTATTCTTTACATCTGACAGGGAAAAGAGGGAAAGGGCCAGCCCATGTGACAGGACATGGTGAGTGAGAAAGGAAGTGAGGGCACAGCAGAGTCAGCCACTGAGTCTTTGCTTTCTGGGGGTGAGGTCCCTGCGGCCCCAGGGCTGAAGTCGCCTGTAGTTCGAGAGCAAGAGGAAGGGGAACCAGGAGAAGACAAACTACTCCTTCCTCCTAAATTCAAGATTTCAAACAAAGCTTTGGTGTCTAACAGAGAACATGGAATTATATTTGTTTCCTGTTAAACAGTCATG